CACACCACTCATTGGGCAGATAATTTCATGTTCTAAATGCAAAAAAATCTCATAATATTTTAAGAAAGTTTACGAATTAGTGTTGGGCTACATGCAAGGCCATCCTGGGCTGCATGTAGCCCACTGGCTGTGGGTTAGACAAGCTGCTTTATAGCTTTCAAAGCTGAGTCATGCATGTTGTTGATTCTGTTTGATGCTCCTGATTGTTTTCTGTGAAGGAGGGCAGGTCCTGGGACAATGAGCTCCTCCCTTCCTCCATCCCCTCCCCCAGCCCTCACCATTCCCTCTGTCTGCTCCCCTTCTCACCCCAACCCAGCCCTGAGAAAATGAGGGCACTGCCAGGTGTCTGTGGACTTGATCCTCCCAGGATTAAGCCCTTCCCACCACCCACATCCTACTCCTTTCTCTGTGGTTGAGAAATCGCCTGCCGCATACCTGGCCCCCTGGCTAAAACAGCTAGGATGGGGTCAAAGGGCATCGGGATTTTGACTTCAGTACTGGAGGCCAGAGGGTTGCGCCAGGGTCAGCTTTTATGCCTTTGTTCAACACAGCAAGCATACATTACCCAGCAGAACTCTGCCAGATATGGGAAAACCTGTGGCCTATGCTCTGTAGGAGGCTACAGTGTGGGGGAAAGGAGTGAATGACAGCCTGGGACAGGGGGCGCAATATCAAGGCACTGGGCCCTGCACCCAGGGGAGGAAGGAGAAAGCTGCCAGGCATGGGTCAGAGAAGGCTTTGTGTGGGGCTATGTCCTGGAACATGAGTAGGCATGAGCCAAGAGGAGAGAGGGCAGGGTGGGTCAGGTCATCCACCATGTTATGAGGACTCTAAAATCCTTGAACCAGTGGGAGGGGATGAGGATTAGGGTTCATCTGGGGACTGGGGATGAGGAAGGAATGGGTGACCAGACTGGAGATGCAGGCATATGCCACCTCAGAGACTGCCTGTGTGCTCAACTCAGCATACCCTGTGTGCCTGTGGGTATGGGGACAAAATTCCCCCAACGCCTGCTTCTGGCTTTGTGCCACTGCGTTTCTTTAGGCAGATGTTCTTAGCTGTCACTGCACTGACTTCTAAAGCCACCCCAGCCTCCATGAGTGAACGTCCACGCCTTCTCCCCTCCAGTCTGTGGGGAGGAGCCCCACCCCCTTTCCTCCAGCAATTCCTACACATCGCCTCCAGGCCTTTTCAGCACCATTGCCTCACCAGGAATGTTCTTCGCCCTTCTTCACTTGGTTCATTCCTATGCATTCTGCAAAACTTCATCTGCCACACTTTTCTGACCTGTCCCCTCCCAGGCTGGTGAGGCAGAGCAGAGCATCCTGTCTGTCTCCCTGTGGAAGGAACGGGAGGTGCCCACTGGTCACCTAATGCATTGCACAGCGACTACCTGTGGGATTTGGTGACTATTGCAGGGACAAATATTGAAGGACCCTGAAGTGCCTGCCTGTCCCTCCACCCTGACCTCTCTGTGGCTTCTTTTGCTGCATGTCTAGCTGGGTGCAGTGTCCCGTTACTTGATGGTTCCTCATTGGCGTCTGCTTTCCTAGTCCTCCCTGGATGCCTTTTCTATTGCACCTACTGAACCAGTGGGCTGTGCTCTCTTTCACGCAGTGACACTTCTGGCTGAGAAGTCATTAGTAACCCGCCACCCCCTATCATCACAGTCAGTAGGGCCTAAAGCTGGCCCTGTGTTTGGTCCAACCCACCTTCCACTTTGCCTCTCATGACTGATCCTTGATTTATGTCCAGGTGTCCTCAAGCCCACACCCTGATAGCTGACCCTCTGTCAGACTGTGCCTCTTACAAAAGGCCCTTCTCTTATCCTCTCTCAGGCCAACACCTGTCCTACTTCCACTCACTGACCTTCCCTGACCACTCCAGGTAATAACTACTCCCCGTCTTCAGAACCCCTCCACACCACTCATTGGGCAGATAATTTCATGTTCTCCATGGGGTCATTCTGTGTTCCTCTGTGTGCATGGTGCCTGTCACAGAGCAGGGGTGCAAAAATATTTGTTGACTGAGTGTGCAAATGTAATCTCTTTCTCCTGGCAAAGTTTCCTGAAGGTAGAGGCCGTGTACTCTCTACTGCACAGCTGACTTTATGCCCAAAGCTAGTCTGCCAGATATATTTGTGTATTGGCAGCTTAAAACCACCAGTCTGGTACCAGCCCCTTTAAGTGGATTGACCATACACAGATGCGCGCGCGCACACACACACACACACACACACACACACACACGAGACATAGTTGTTTTGTTTTTAACCTCAATGTTTAAGACCCAGAAGCTCTTTGGAAATCATCAAGAGAAGAACTCTCTGTGATGACGGAAATGTTTTATATCGGCTCTATCCTATATGGCAGCCACTAGACACACATAGCCATTGAGCACTTGAAATGTGGCCAGTGTGATTGAGGAACTGGATTTGTAATTGCATTTAATTTAAATTAATTTAAATGTATGTAGCCCCATGAAGCTAGTGGCTGCCATTGTGGACAGGCAGTTCCGGACCACTCCCAGTTCACCTGCTGTAACTTCTGCCCCTCACTGTCTCCCCTCCAGACCCCTTCCAGCACTGCTTGAGGTGCCCTCTACCTGTGCCTACCTCTCTTGTCTGCCAGTTTGATTTGGACCTGTTTTTGCCACCTCAGCCCCATGCTCTTGTCAAACATGTGTTTGGCCTCTGGCCAAACAGGGCCTGGGAGGAAAACAGAGTGCTGCTTCTGCTTGGCTTCCCCATCGGGGAGGGGAGTTGAATTGACAGCCTCCTGACCGCTTAGAAATGTGGAGGATGCATCATGTTCTGGACATGGCTGGCCATATGAATGACATCTTTTCTTTCTTTGAACCATCTCCACCTGCTTTTATGGACATCCCCCCGCGCCCGCCCCCCCTCCCCCCGCCATGGGCAGGGCAGAGTAGGATGTTGACATATGACTAGCTCTTGGGAATAAGGCCATGGAAGTAAGGCAGACACATGGGGTGATTTCATCAGCCTTATTATCCTTAGATAACTGGTTATCTTAGGCTATCCTTAGATAAGTTATTATCCCTAGATAAAATGAAGCCCATTTTAATAGAAAATGAAACAGACAAGATGATGACATCCTTTGTATGTTTACTATAATACAGCAAAATTTTCCAGACCAGAGCCAATGTCCACGGCTCTAGGTACACCCCTTCCAAGCAATGCAAAGGACATCTCCAATCATGACATTTAAGACAGTTCTTTATTTCTCTGACAGTGACTTCTTGAAGTGCACATATAATAAATAAATAGAAAATATATCTTTGTTCATGGTGATGCCTACAAGAAATGTTTACATACAAACACTCTATACATCTAACTCCCGAAAAAGGACCAGCTGTTTCGGCAACAGAAAAAAGACAAGCATTTCAGAGGAGCGTTGCTTTCCTTAAAGACCGAACTCACTTAAGTCTTACACACAGAAATAATAAGGAGGACAATTTCCTAAGCAATAAGAAAATTTGTGCTACCAAGAAAATGCCTAGATATTGGCTCTTGGTGAATGGTTTAGGAAAGAAAGTTTTAGGTACAGATCCTGTATGGTGAAACATATGTACAACTCTGAGAACTTTCAAATAGATATCTTTTTTAAATGAACTGAGCCAAAGACATTCAACATTCCTGGCCACCTGAAAGTGATCACATCCTAAGTGGTTCACAGTGTGAGACCCTTGCATTAAAAGAGTGAAAACTCAACAAAACCGTGGACAAGAAGGACATGAGGTCATTTTAACTCTCCTTTCCATCACCGCTAATCTCCCTGGAAGAGGTCCTTCCTGTGAGTCTGGCCTTTGAAGCAGCCATATCTTTAAAAGCAGAGCCCTATGGTCACCTCCCAGCAGCTGAAAGATGTTTGGTGGGAAAGACCTCCCTGGCAGTTGACTCCCACCTGGGGAATGGACTCTTGGACCGAGTCTCATGGGTGCAGTTGGGTGGAGGGAGCCAGGCAGGCCCTCTTTGAAGGAAAGTTTGTGGTTGGGGCAGGAAAGGGGATAAACGTAGTTCATCACAAGACCCAGGGAGACCCCAGTGCCTCGTGTGAGATTATAAACCACAGATAGAGTTCTCCCTCTTATAGGAGCTCTTTGGGCTCTCTCTAAGGTAGGCCAGGGAGAGAGCAGGTCATTAAGCAGCAGCTGAAAGGGACTGGGGTGGACCCAATAGCTGTTCAGACACCCAAGGTCAGTCAAAATGGCTCACCAGAAACATGGCAGGCCCTACTCCCTCTGCTGGGCCTCACCTGTAGAGCTGCAGAGACAGGAGAGCTAGGTAGCACCAATGGGGAGTTGGCATCTACTGTGCACCCAGGCTGGGCTGACAGGTAGTGAACAAAGTGAAGGCCACAGGGACCGCCAACACGAAGGGGAGGGCGGGTTTGTGTGCGCTGGGAGCAGGAGGGAAGAGAGTGGCTAGCTGTCATTCTACTCTAGTCATTTCCTTTCCTTCGAGGGGACTTGTCCCCATTTCCAGAAGCTACTTCAGGAGTGCCTGGGCACTCAGGGGCCAGTTGTTGAGGCAATGTGGTGTGGCAGCAAGGGCTAGGGTGGGGCTCCCCGGGCCCTCCCCTGGCTATGTGGTTCTTTCCCATCTTGGGGGCTCATTTTCCCCATCTGTTAAAATGAAGGCTTTGGACTAGATATGTTCTGTATTTCCAGCTCGGAAATCCCAGACCAAGGGAGTGTGAGCACATCTAGAGTCTCTGGGAGGCCCCCGTGCTCAGTTCCCTGGATGAAGAGCAAATGAGGCCCCAAGGCAGGAACTCACTTCTGTGGACTTCACTCCACCCTCTCAGAGTCAGAGGTGGGGCTGCCTGGACACCAAATTCCTCTGTGCTCATAAGCAGCAAAGCCCATTGCTCCCTTCTGACCACACTTCATGAGTGGGCCAGAGAGGCATGGGCAAAGGGCGACCCTGCAGTCACCAGCTTCAGCAGGCAGCGGCAGGGAGGGCTGAATCCCTGAGCCATTCCAGAGACTGCCTCATCTCCCCCCAGCAAATGCCCCCAGCCTTCATTCTTGCAAGCAAGAAGCCTTGCTGAGCCTCCCCTCTGAAATGGCACTGTTCTCCATTTTACCTCTCTGTGATTTCTCTGCCTGGCATTGCAGTGCACATGGACCTGACTGCCTGTCCCATTGGACTGCGGGCCCCTCGAGCTAGGCGTTAGTTCTCACCTCTCCATCCCGTGTGCCCTGGGCACCGAGCATCATGGATATCAGTGGAAAGGAATGTTTTCCTCCACTGTTGGGTTCCAGGTACCATGTGAAATGCAGCAGACTTCTGGAATCTCAGAACAAAAAGGGCCTTTGAGAGTCATCTAGTCCAAGTCCCAGCCTGCTGCCCGAAGTCTCCTGAAAGGTGGACACGGCCAGAGGCAGGGCTTGCCTCTTCCCCAAGGGTAGCCAGTTCCACCCCAGCTCCTAATCCTGTCACGCTGGCTCTTGCTTACCGGAGTAAAGATTTCTTTAAGGCCAAGGCTCTTTTTCCTACATTTACCACCCTCACTTGTCTGCTGAAGACCATGGGGATCTGTGAATGACCAGCCCTCCAGGCTACCTCCTAACTGGGTCAGGGCTCCTGCCAAAGTGGATCTTTGCTGTCAGCACAACCCAGGTCTCCTGATATGGTCCCCAAATCCCCACTGAAGAGGCACAGATAGGAGAGAAGCACCCAGGAGGCTGCAGGAAAGTGAATGTTTCCAGCATTGGCCAGCACCGCCCCAGGGGCTCCAGGTAGACACTTGAGTAGGGGCAGGCGGCAGCACCAGGGTCTCTGATATCTTTCCCTTGGCCCATCAGGGCTGAAACACGGCCTTCCCAGGCAGCTGCTGGCAGGGACGGGGGGACCCAGCCATCCCCCACTGGTCTGCTGCCAAGAGTCACCGTCATAGTCTACCACGAGGTGGCACCAGGCGGCAGCTGTCCTCACAACTTCTTCTTCTTCACCACAGGGATAGGCACAACTTGGAAGATTTTGGCTTTGTGATCCCCAGTGTCCAGAGTCACCCAGATGGGCCGGAAGCTGCCTTTGAAGCCAACGAATGCCATTTGCTCTGAAAAGCAATGATGAGTCTCCTGAGCAAAAGCCCTATGAGAGGACGGCTTCCCCACCCCATTCCAGGGCTCCCCATCGCCAGTCCCCCACCCCTACCAGGCACCCCCCAGCCACACTGCACTGTGGCCCCTTGGGAAGAGCTCTGTGCTCAGCTACTGATGGTGCCTGACATGCATTTGTATGGGGCAGGCAGGGTCTCACCTGAGCCTCACTGCCACCTAGGCAGGGTGATGGCTTTGCTTTTGACAGGGGAGCCATGCACAGCAGGAAATGGGGCAAATTGTAAGGGAGGAGACCTCCTAGGAACCTGCCTACCTTCGAACTGCCCCTACGACCACCAGCAAGTCCCTGCCCCTCTCTGAAGCCTAGTGTTCCCATCCATCAGACGATGGCATTGATCTACAAGATCTCCTCCCCCACCCTATCACTCTGTGGCTTTAGAAGGAGTTCTGAGAGGTGAAGGAATTTGACCAAGAGTGTGTAGTAAATGGTGCAGCCCAGATTAGAACTCTAACCCCCTGAACCCCACACAGCACTCCCCATCTTGCAGTTCAGAGCTTGAGCATCCAAGGGGCATGGGAATCCACATCTATACTCAGCCCATCCTGGCAGGCAACATGCATTTATCACCACCGGGAAAGTGCCATTCAACTTAGGTCACCTTACATACATCAACTTTTGGCAACCGGGATCTTAATTTAAAAGACAGAGGCTCCAAAATGATTCCAGGACTGGGCTGGAAAGGATACTTCTCTTTTCCTTATGTTCTCCTTTGGCTGGTTTGAAGGGTTTGCATTGCTTCTGATTTTTCTTATCGCCCCATATGATGGGCTTCTGATTTTGATATTTTCTATAGTGAGGATGGTGTGTAACTAAGAAGCCCAGCTTTGAGTTAGGAAGATTAGGATCCAAGTCCTAACCTTAAACAAGTGGCTTGGCTGTTAAATTCTTGGTGTCCTCATCTTAAATGGAAATAATAGTACCTGGTGTACAGGTTATTAATGAGTAAGTGAGATAATTATAACATGTTCTGCAAAGTGCAAGGCTGAACATTAAACAGAACCACAATGATCATTATCATTATTGCCCATGGAGCTGCTCTACCACCCACACAACCTCTCTGAGGACTCTCCCTGCACCTAGTTTTTGTGATATAATGGTTGTCATGCTGATAGGTCCCTCCTGGATGGCTTGTTCCAGCACAGCCTGCAAACCTGTGCTAGGCTTCACCACCAAAGAGCTGCCTGGCCTTGGACAAACCATGTAGGTTCTCTGGGCTTCTAGTTTTCGTTTCATCTACCTATCTCAGAGGAACAAATAAGAGTTTTGCAAGCTGCAAAGGACTATACAAATGCTAGGCATCAGCTGGAATGTTGAAGAAGATGCAGGACCCCTGGCCAGTCTGAATAGCAGGAATTGGGTAGGAGGGTGAGGCTAAGCTACTTTTCTTATGATGCTTTTGTTGAATAAAGGGCCACTTTCCAAGCAAATGAGTGAACAACTCTAGCAATTTTCTTTCAGTGGCTGGTAGCAAGTTATAATAAATTTGCTGCAGTGCGGGGGTGGTAAACAGGTGGCATCTTGCCCATCCATTCCAGTAGACCACTAGTTGTGTGGGGGATTCTGAGGTTGTACCCAAGTTTAGTACAAAGCATGTTCTCAACTCAGCAAAAGACGACAGCAACCTCCATGCCAGGCATTTGCCTTCTCTGCTTTTGGGGTCAATTTAAACCCCAGTTCAAACCCTTACCTTTCAACTTGAGACCCCTGTCTGCCCCAAGCTTTTCCAGCACTCTGGTCCATGGGCCTCTGGAGACATATCTTCCCTTTGATGCCATGAGCACTATGGAACTGTGAGAGAAGAAACCAATTAGACCAGAGAGAGGGCAAACTGGGGCAAGTGGGCATGGGGAGGGATGTTGGGTTGTGCGTGGTGGGACTGGAGTTAGCAGTGCCCAGAGGCCTGGCCAGGGATTCAGGAAAGGGCAGCCTCTCCTGTGTTCTGAGCTGACGGGCTCTTTCCATGTGGTGACGAACATCCTGAGCTCCCTCCCACACATCTGGCCACAGTTGATGCCCACGGCCTTCTCCAAGCCTGGACTCAGCTCACCACATTTGTATGTCTCTCTCCAAACAGAGGAGAGGCTGTAAACAGAGCACGCCATGCCAGGGCTCGGCACACAGTAGGACTTCAATATGCATCTCTTCCCTTGAACGTTCTCAGCCCTGGTTAGGTAAGACCACATAGAAATGTGGTGACAGAGGAAGGAAGGAGGAAGGGATGAGAGAGAGAGGAGGTGAGGGAAGAAGGAGGGGGGCATCTGTCAAATCATAAAACCATCCAGGGGCTCCTGTAGATCCTGAAGGTTCTAGAAACCAGCTCCATTTGGCATCTCTTGGAATTTCATTAGAACCACAGAATTCCTCCACTGCAGACTCTCTGAATCAGAATCTGCGTTTTTACAAGATCTGCAGGAGATCGTATATACATTAAAGCTCTAGAAGCCCCATGCTAGAAGATTTCTCTTGGAGCCCATCTTTCTTTTGCTGTCTTCTTTCGATGGACACAGGCTTAGTACAGTCCAGAGCCAGCTTCCTCTGAGCTGCAGGAAGAGCATGGCCAGATTTGAAGTCTTTCTGGGGAGAACACCATGTCATTACCATGATGCTCGGGTTGTATCAAGAGCTCAGATTGACCTCTTATGTTCATGTCACCTCTCTCTCTGGTCAGGCAAGACAGGGCTATTGCTTCTATTTTGCAAATGGGGAGATTGAAGCAAATAGTTACCAAGTATCTCAGAGGACCTGCCAAAGGGAAATGTGCTTGAAAGAGGCAGAGGTTTGGAGCAATGTGTGTGCCCAGCCTGAAGGTCCCAACTTGCAAAAGTTCGACTTGGGAATAAGGAGTGTCTATCCCCTGCCTCGGGGTGTATTCAGTCCAAAGTGCTGGGAAAATAGCCTTCACAGTGGCAGACTCAGCATGCTGGGCCAGACAGGAGGAAGTGAGCACCTCCCTTGGGAATAGAAATGGGGCAGAAGCTCAATGGGGCATCCAGTTCGTATCTCAAAGGAACTCTGTAACCACAGACCACAGTCCAGACATGGAAAAACTGTATAGGATTCTGGAATCTGTTGTTACCCCTATTTGTGTCCCACTGGGAGCAGCAGGAAAGATCTTAAGATGCAAAGGGCTTGTGTGAAATAAGGATAGATGGGAAGGGAGCTGGGGCTGCCTCAGGCCCTTGAGGAAGGCTGGAGAGTGAGGCCCAAAGGGTTGGTAGGGTGAGGCCCCTTAAGGAGAGAGGGCTCATCGCTAACACATCCTCCACTCTAGATTCAGGATCTGTTCTCTGGAGGATATTTCTGCATTGTTTCATTTCAGAACAAAAGCTAATGGTCCCTTGTTGGAGCTCAACCTTCCTACTTATGGGACTCAAATATAGGTCCTGCCCTCCTGATGGGGACCTAGGTTAGCTCACATGAGCAGGACAGGGGGACGGTCTTCTTTTGTCCCCACCGCCTCCCACTGACGCCCAGAAGCCTGCCTGTGTTGGGCACACTTCTTTGCCTGGTATGCCATCCTCATGGCCTCGAAGCCCGTGCACCAGCCAGCACGGAGTCTCCCACAGAGTGGCAGGGCACAGGCAGCTCCCAGAAGCCATGCTAGATGTTTACGGTGTGAGCAGCTGCCCTCTTCTCTCCCCAGGACCCTGGGGCCAGTAGTGGCCTGCTGGATGGGGTAGGAAGGGTGGGCCAGGCTAGGCAAGGCCCGTAGCCACAGTAGGACAGGACCTGCCTTGCCTCATTCCCTGCTGCTTTCCAGGAGGTTAGAGAGGGGTCTGGTGGTACCAATGCCTGCCTGGGTACCCAGCACCAGCCCAGGGAGTGGCCCATTCCAGTAAGGGCTTCCCCCAGAGAGTTGCTGCTGCTCGGGCTGGAAGGAGCCTTGCACACGGTTCCAAACAGAGTAGCACTGCAGTCTAGTTTCTTGTTCCAAGCTTCTGCATCCTCTTCCATTTCAAAAGAAAATCCTCTGCCCAAAACGGCATGATCTCTAGATAATAACTATTTTTCCGAATTTAGTCAACCTTGTCCTTCTGTCTGAATCTGCATATGAAAAATAGAAAGCCGAAGGAGCATCTGATGGGGGAATGAGGGAGGGAGTAAATGTGGTTAAGCAAAATCCCATTATCCAAAATCTCACCAGGTACCCAGTTCACATCGTGCCCCTCATGGAGTCAGCATCTGGGAAGTACATTTGCTTTCATTCAATAACTATTAATGTTTACTAAGCACCTACTATGTAGCAGGTACCACATGAAGTGCTTAGACTTTCCACCAGGTTGTGGCTCCTGAGTGAACTGTACACTCACTTAACTAGCCATGTTCTGTGCTAGAAATGCAAAGGGAAGTTAGACACGGCCCCAACATTGAGAAGGCCACACTCTTCATGGGGCAACAGATGTGTCCACCAGACCTATTGTGAGTAGTGCTTTAGCAGAGGTAGAACTTTTTTTTTTTTTTGAGATGGAGTCTTGCTCTGTCACCCAGGCTGGAGTGCAGTGGCACAATCTTGGCTCACTGTAACCTCCGCCTCCTGGGTTCAAGTGATTCTCCTGCCTCAGCCTCCCGAGTAGCTGGGACTACAGGTGCGCACCACCACACCCAGCTAAGTTTTTTGTATTTTTAGTAGAGACGGGGTTTCACCATAGTGGCCAAGCTGATCTCAAACTCCCGACCTCGTGATCTGCCCACCTCGGCCTCCCAAAGTGCTGGGATTACAGGTGTAAGCCACTGTGCCCAGCTGAGATAGAACTTTTGGGTTGGATGGGAAAAGACCTCACCAAGGAGACAATGTGGGGAGACTTGTAAGGTATTGGGGAATTACCAAAGATTGCTAAGGAGAGGGGACACAGGTTTTCCCTACATTTAAGAAGTTTAAACCAGCAGCCAATATGGAAGATGGGTTGGAGTTGGGGCAACTGGAAGAGGGAGGCCTGTTAGGAGACTATGCCAACAGTGCTGGTGATGACCAGCAAAGGCCTGGGCAGAGCAGCAGAAGAGAGGATGCTGTGGAGGGAACCAGCAGGCGAGCAGTAATGCAGGTGGAATTGATAGTGTATGGAGGAAAGAAAGGAGTCAAACAGAATGCCCAGATTCTGGCCTAGCTATCAGGATGGACTGTGATGATTTCATCAAAACTGAAGAAGTAGGATCGTGGCTGGTTTGGAAGGTTAAACATTTTAAAAGGCTGAGAATTCAGTTCCATACAAGACGTCCAGGTGACATTGTCCAAGTAGCAGTTGGATTGGAATGTCGGGTGCTTAGGAAGGAGATCTAGGCTGGAGATAGTAGCCACCAGCACTTGGATAGTATTGAAGGTGTGGGAGGGGATGAGATCATGCCGGGAGTGTAGTGAAGAGGGCCAGGGCAACCTTCCCATGTGTAGCGGGGCTGTCCCGCCTGCCTCCGCCTGACCTACATTCACAGCAGCCCGGCTCCAACACCAGAGTCCACAGGCAAGGACACTGTCGTCCAACACCCATGATTTGTGGGCAGGCTGTAGAGACTGCCTGAGCTTTTCCAGACTGATCTGTGATGAGGGCCTTTGTGCGAGGGAGGGGGCCCTTGCCCAGGGGTCTGCTGTGCCAGCAGCCAATTCCAGAAGCAGAGGCACAGACTCACTTGTCAGGGATGGTCGCCACATAGTTGAAAAGCTGCCACGGTATGCCCTGCAGAATGGAGTTCCTGAAGCTCATGTGGCTCACCATGCGCCCTTGGCTCCCGTCAATCACCACCACCTGGATGCCATCCTCCGAGCTGGGATACTTCTTCCCATCCACCTGCAGAGTCAGAGCAATCCAGGTGTGAGGCGGGGTGCCAAAACCCCAAGATTCTCCTGCCCTGGTGGTTCCCGAGCAGTCCCTGAAGGCAGAAGGTGCCTCTGCAGCTGTTCAAAGCATAAACTCCATTATCCACTTAACTCCTTGTAGCCCTCAGTAGTGGGTCAAATAGTGGCCCTGCAAAAGATACGTCCACCCGGAACCTGTGAAAGTGGACTTATCTGGAAATACAATCTTTGCAGATGGAATTAAGTTAAAGATTTTTTGATGAAACCATCTGGATTTTTAGGGTGGGCCCTAAATTCAAAGATAGGTGCCTTTGCAAAAAAAAAAAAAAAA